ATATTTCTGGCACGTTTTGTGGTAACGGCCTTGCGGTCACACGAACTTCGGCGCACGCCACAGTTATTTACTTTTTTTCAGTTTTTTCTTTACTGGACACACTTTATTTATGCATTAAATACATATAACGATAACAAACAGAAAAGGCAGTCAGTCTATGACGTGTCTGCGTTTTTTCTCATCTTGTCCAGCATTCCAGTGCCGACATTTTGTAACATTTCAATACGAAGTTGCGGACTATCGTGTTCTGCAGTTTCGGAATGTTAAGGCCTACAATTTAGTTTTATTAACAGTTCTTTTTTCCTACTGCTCCACAAAAATTTTGCCCATAGTGGCCGCAATAAAAAAAAAAGGGGGGGGGGGGGGGGGGGGGAATGCCAAGTGCAGAACACGTCCGCCATGCAAATGGCAAGAAATAAAGAATATTTTACGAAGAACAAAATCGTGTACTATGCTTTCTAGCAAGCCTCCACGAATCACCCATCGCGGTAATCTGTTGGTTACGGTGTTCCACTGTTGACACTGGATCGAATCCCGGCCACGGCGGACGAACTTGGATGGACGCGAGAAGCTACATAACCGTGCACGTTCTTGTAGACTCGTGAAGCTAGAGACCCGTGCAGGTTAAGTGCACGCTAAATAAATACAGGCAGTCGAAATTTCTGGAGCCCTCCTTACGGCGTTTCTTGTGATCATATCGCAGATTTTACACGTAAAACTCCCTACAACTACTATGTTATTATTCTTTCACGAATCGATGCCGCAATGTAACCTTTCAAAGTTCCAATGGTGCACACATATTCTGGCAACCAATGTGCGATGAAGTGTTCCCACGCACCTACACTTGATTTGTATTTAATTAAATAACCGTGTATTAGTGAGAATACAATGCAGACATTCATCGGAAGTCGTGTCATGACGAAAAAAATGCCGCCATATCCACGAAGTGAATGATGATGAGTGGGCGAAGCTCCGGAGGTAAACCTGGTAAACCATGAATCCTCCGTACATTTTGCCCACTCGATTTTATTGCAACGCTCCCCCTAGCGTACGTCGCCGCACTATATCGAACGATGACACGCGCCATATGTGGCATCATTCTGATTTTATAACACCTCGCATCTTTCATAATCAACTACACGTACCGCCGTCTAGTTTATAACACCTTGCATCTTTTGGACGGACGGACGGACGGACGGACGGACGGACGGACGGATGGATGGATGGATGGATGGATGGATGGATGGATGGATGGATGGATGGATGGATGGATGGATGGATGGATGGACGGACGGACGGACGGACGGATGGATATGGCTGTACTTTTTAGATCGGGCGGTGGCTAGCGTAATACTTAGAACTGAACGAGAGGTGGCTACATACAGGGGACGCACAGCCCACGCCTTAAGGAGCTTCGCTCCTAAAAGACAGCTACAACAGCTTTTTTGAGTCGTTACGAAAGGAAAGAGAGCGTCACTGTGGTATATAATATTAAATGCCAGATTATTTTCTCAGAACGATTTATTGATATGCGGGGTTTAACGTCCCAAAACCACCATATGATTATGAGAGACGCCGTAGTGGAGGGCTCCGGAAATTTCGACCACCTGGGGTTCTTTAACGTGCACCCAAATCTGAGCACGCGGGCCTACAACATTCACACCTCCATCGAAAATGCAGCCGCAACAGCCGGGATTCGATCCCACGACCGGCGGGTCATCAGCCGAGTACCTCAGTCACTAGACCACCGCGGCGGGGCTTAGTCAGAATGACGAAAAATTCTCAGATGGTGTCGCAATGCTTGCAGACACGAAAGCGGAAAGCACAACGACAAGACTCGTCAGTTTCCGTCTAGCGTTCGTGTCTTCCTCTGGGTCTGCTAGCGCTATGGCACCTTTTGATGCGTTTAATTACTTAATCCAAAAAAGGCCACGCGGACAAACCTTTGTCGTGAACCAAAGTTTGGCAGTTAGTCGCAGAAGGAAACTCATTGCATCACTGTTCTAAACCATTTATTAGAAATGACTATTTTACGAATGGGTTGCAGTGCCGCCATATTGGACTATTAACCTTTGTGTTTTGCAAATTTAACAACTAAACGAACAGTGTTACGGTAGACGCATATGCATGAAAACGGTTTGGTTGTAGCATACGATGTTTCATATCTTCATTAATACACGTTGTAATACACAAAACCAAGGAAACATCATCTTAACAGCTCAAGATTGCGGTGGCCCCATGTCCTAAGTCATCATCATCATCATCAGCCTGACTACGTCCACTGCAGGACAAAGGCCTCTCCCATGTACAGCCAGTTAACCCGGTCCTGTGCTAGCTGTTGCCAATTTATACCCGCAAACTTCTTAATCTCATCTGCCCACCTAACCTTCTGTCTAACCACATGTCCTAAGTAAGTTAGTTTATGTGGCGTCCACAGAACACACATATCCTGCATCATCCTGCATTAGCAAACACAATTCAGCATCCACTGTCTACGAGCGTGTTTTAATATAATGGGCACAAGTACACATGCAAAGTATTCTCCGAACGCGTTTACACGTTCCCACGATTGTGCTTCTGGCACGCTGTATGAACTGACGCTTCACCTCGCAAGCCAAAATAAAGTTTTTTTTTCGTTCAACAACTGCGCGTTATTACAGCAGGGCCGGTGGGCGCGGCGCGTCGAGAGGGAACATCGCGCCTCGTGTTCTGCGAGCAGCAGCAAGGCGCATCCCAGCTAACGGATCACGGATTTCGCGGCGCCGATGGGGCACGACTTCTGGGTGCTGCCAGCCAAGCCGCGATCAGCAAGAAAACGCGCGCGCACACACACTCGTTCGCGTGCGCTCCAACAACGTGGCGAAGGAGCGGGTGCTAGACAGCCAAGGGAAGAATGTTCGCAGCTTGACCTCTGGTGCACTCGTGTCCTTTCAGGTTTGCTCAGTGTTATTCTGCCAATGCCTGGACCTCCCCCCCCCCCCACCCAGCTTCGTCCCTCCATCCTCTTCAAATCCATCCCCTTCAAGTAGCCTTCCCCATCCTCGAACCCCCCTCTTCTCTCTTCATTCCACTAGCACAACGGAGCCTCTACCGACCTGTGGCATAAGCGAGCAGCTTTTGAATTTTTCTTTCAATTCTCGCTCTCTTTCCCGCATAGTATCGGTTCGTACTTTCTTGCTTCATTTCTCCACGCCAATCGGGCGCAGAGAGCTGTTCGCCACCGCCGGTGGCGTTCGCGGTTATTTTTCAACTTGGGTCTTTTTTTTTTTTTTTCGCGCTAGGCGCGTCCCAGGATGTATCAGGGCGGGATGAGATAGAGAAAGCGTGCCAAGGAAGCCGACCGGACTCCGGAATTTCGTCCCGCGGTTTTCTTTTTGTAACACTTTATTTCTTTCTTTCTTTTTAAAGAGCACGGGGCAAACCAGGAGCCCCATCTCAGCGGCGTGGTCGACGGGCCGTGCGCTTATCTATGCCGCACATCTCAGATCCCCCGTCCCCTCACCGTCTCCTCGCTTCCCTGGGCGAACACTTCGTTTCGTCTTGAGTTACGAACGAAGTACACTTTGTAGAAGACGCTCGCCGCCGATGCCGCAAGGACACGGCAGGAACACCCATAGACCGCTGTTTCGCTATTGCGGAGTCCTCTCGGCAGCGTCTACAGACCACCATCGAAAACGCGTGCCGTCCACCGGCATCTAATTCCCACGTCGCCCCATTACTTTTCTTCTTCTGGAGCGGGACATTTCTTTCCCCGCCGTTCTGTTCACTTTCCTACGTCGCATTCTGTGTGTCACACACGCTCGTCCGCAGAGACACTCGCCCCTGAAGCAAACTGGCTACGCTGGCGGAATCAGCGTGTTTTTTTCGCAACTACAGCGAGGCTTTCCATAGGAAGAGGGCTTCACTCGTTTCGACACAGGAGACGTCCGTAGCATGGCTGAGCAATTCTGAACGTCTCTATGCTTGAAGTTCACAACGTCCATTTAACCTGGAGTGTTCCCATGTTGTGGCTATGAGCAGATACGCTGCTCTGCAAGTTATTGTTGTCGTATTACTGCTCTCTATGTGATACTTCCAGAGATAATGTGTCACGAACAGAGCGACCTTTTTTGCCTTTTATTATGCACAGCAGACTTCGGCAACATTCCCGAAGCCACAAGTTAAGTCGAAAACACTGTGTATTAAAAAAAAACACTGCAAGCATAAAAACAAAAAAACATCAGTTCACTAGCGCTGTCAAGATAATTATTTTCGTTGAGACGACACATACACAAGAATGATATTGCACCTGGCACCGGCAAACATTCCACCCATGAGTGTGAAACGGTAATTTTTTCAAAGTGAAATAAGGGAAAGAGGTTGCCCGCAGCACTTTGTTATAATTGGTACCTTCGACTAATTATTTTTCTACACTGTACTTGAACTAAACGTACTTCGTTTTAGAGAGATGTCTGCAAGCGTGTGCATACAGGCACACCTCTAAAGCTGTATTAAATCACGCTTTTAACAGATTTCTTGTGTATTGTTGCATACACGTCTTCAGTCATCATAACCAACAGCATAGCAGCCGCAACGCACAACATTGGGAAATCTTATCACAGCCCAAGATAACACGTATAACAAGATATCGAAAACAAGATATTGCTGACATCTGGTAATGCTATATTACTTAATCCCTTCAGCTTTTCTCTAGATTACACCTCCTGAACTTAATATTTCGTCTTATTATGTTGTTACTTTCCTCTATAACTACAGCATGAAATTAAAAAGCCTTCACTACTGTAATGAAACTAAATCTTTTTATTTCAACTAGAAAGTCGTGTCCACGGCTTTCTGACAAACTATAAAGATTTAGTTGAGTGAAAAATCACGAAAGGCTTTCTTGTTCACATTCACATATTTATGGTGGCTTCAGTGGACGACGAAAATTTGACGACACAACACAACCAGGGAAAGGCTTTTTAAGTTCTAGAATAAAAATAGCGTGTCTCGCAACTCACCAACTCATAACTCTGTTTGGGGTCACAGGAGGATATCACCTGCAAATAAAGAAAATAACATGTCAGCCCTAAAAAAAAGTAAACGCACTTTGTGTACCACATTCATAACATTATTTCCTAAAGGATTTCAACGGACGGACAATGTTGCCTATGTGCATGCATAGCTGTCCTGGCGCGGGCACACACATCTTCAGCTTTGAACATATATGTTCAAAGTTAATCAGCTATCGGCTATGTTAATCGGCTATCGTTATACCGATAGCCGATTAATTAATATAATGATTCGCTTTACCAGTACATTCGCGGCGTTTGAAATTTCACAAAAAAATAAAATTTTTAGAACCAATGCTTCAACAATTCATTTTTAATGTTTGCCCAATAAAGTTGTTGGAAAACCGATATTTGAGCGTGTTTTATTTAAAGGTGTAAGCATATTCTCTGCTGGCTCACTCAACGTTAGATAGAAGAATCTGTTATTTAACTGTTTACTGCTTATAGGTTTAGAATGCGAGGTCAGCGACCCTTAGCGTCTAAAATACCTGGCTCCAGCTTTCCACTGGTTTATTACTATTATTTTTGTCAGCCCGCATGTATAGAGCGCATCGACATGATTCAGGGATCCCGACGTCTCGACTGTGGCGTGTTGCTCAAAGACACACGCATGCACACTGCTCAGAAGTACAACAGACACCAGCCGCCACCACCAGCACTTCTTGCTCTCCTATCATGGCGCACTCTGTCATAATCCTGTAATGTCAGACAGCACCAGCACGCATTTGCCGGAGTGCTTCCCTCCACCAACTTTCTTCGTTTATCTTTCTTTCTTTTTTTATCTTACGATCGCGTAGCTTTCGCCCTCGTAGCAACTCGCAAGATGTCGCACTCTGCAGTCTATTGTCGGCTTCTTGTTTTTCGACAGCGCCATAAAGATTTCTGAAGATTGTAGGCCAACGAACTGGAGGCGCCAACTTGATGGAGAAACTATCCAAGAGGGATGGAGGGTGAGATAAATGTAAGACAACTAACTGTGCTGTTTCCTTCAAGTGTATACGTCACCAAGAACACGCGGGATATATACTCTCCCTTACGGCAGTCAATTCTTTTCGATGCTCGTTGCATTGACGCCCTTCTTTCGTGAACCTCTCGACAGTTGTCGCTGTTCTTAGAGTTTACGTTCAGAGAACCCAGAGATCTTCCAACGCTTTCACAACCGTACTGAACTTTGTAAAGCGCCACGTCACGTCGCTAAGCAACTGAGAAAGGTGCTCCTGAAATCAACCGTGACGCTCTTCTCAAAGAGGTGGAGCGAATACTCGTTCCTTGGGTCAAATTATTGAATTTCTTCGATTACCTTGTACTCACTTACTCGCGCTGCAGAATCAATTTTTTTTTTTTCAACTTTTGAGACCCTTTTCGATAATGAGAGATCGGAGTATATGTTTGCAGGTCCAGTCTTATTTGCGCAACGATCGGGTTATATTATTCATGTTATGAGAGAAAACTGACAACCAACCGTCTGTGTCGCAAGGAGATTCAGACTCATGTCTCAGAAAGGAAAGCTTGTTAGCTGAAGAGAAATTCGCCATCGTCCGGGATCGAACCCGAAACCAACGCCTTTCTGGGCCGCTCGCTTTACAAAAACTGAGCTAAACCGGGCACTAGCAATTAGTATCGCAAGGGCGAATCGGTGAACGATTCGAAGCACATGGACACACATGTGCCATATATTCAATGCGTGATGTTGCATGTGCCACGTTGCATCAGCGCACCGCATACCATTATTCGCTATTCGTCGAGTCTACGCGTTGCGTGTAGGGCACAAGCTTAACGCTTCTACAAATATTCATTGTGAGTGACACGCAAATTTATTGCGAGTGCGTGAAATCGGATTCCGTTATGATTGTTTCTGCCTCGCCGAAGTGTAAATCATAATATTTTTCCAATAACAGACATTAAATCAAATTGTTTTTCTGTAAAATGTTCATGATGCAACAATTCTTTGCCTATAGATAACAGGTACATCAGAAGAGACTATCGCATGTCCCGCCAGAGTCACTGTCACGCCGTCTATCCAGTGCAAGCCCGTACCATCACCTTTCACAAATCGTTTTTCCTACGGACAGCCCGAGACTTGAATGACCTGCCCACCAAAATCGCCACCGTCATAGACACCCAAGCATTCAAGCGGCTCATTGAAACCATCCCATCATATCTACCCTTATATGAATAGCCTTTCAATCACCCAGTCCTTCATGTAATTTTCCAACTGGGACCTTTGAGGTAATAGAATGAATGAATGAATGAATGAATGAATGAATGAATGAATGAATGAATGAACCAACAACAAGCAGGACACCAACGATCTGTTTTCATCGCCAGACGGAAACATATAGACACCTTGTTCCCACCTGCTTTTATTTTATTCAGGAAAAAATACAAGAGTGTTCGACGACTATTTGGAACAGTATCCAGGCAATCTTTCGAAATGACAGCGCGAACTAATCGTAAAAGAGCAAAAGTAGGAGACAAGGTGTGGTACGGACGCCAAGGTTCCGAGGCGCCACCTGGCCTTCTTCACGCACCACAAAAGACACGCTTCCTCGATACGCGCGAGAACATGTGCATCTTACGCACGCGCATACGATTCGACAACTACCCAGGTTGCAAGGACAATACATCAACCGACGGAAGGCCGCTGCCACGGACACCTGTTTCGCTGACAGCGAGAGCAACCTGCCTGTTGTGTGTCAAAGGGATAAGAATCTCAACTAAGCGCCCCGTAGACGCACAGTGCATCAGAGTGGGTACACACCCGGTGCCGACTGGCGGAGCCACTCGTACTTATATATTACAACCCGTACAGCGTTCCCGATTTATTGCAACCCGGAAAATAGAAGACTCGTTTATCACGTCCTGCTGACAGCTAGTCGTTGCGAGAGTACTGCGGCAAAAAATGAAGCTGTCACGGTGTGACCGTTCCACACAGAATGAGGGTCGCGTGAGAACAGGTTCTCATCTTTTTGTCGCGTTGATTGAAACGCCAGCTGTAGGTTTTGAGGGCATTCAACGTGGGCCAAAACTGAATAAGAAACACTCGGAAAATAAAGCACATTGTATGCAAACAAGCACTCGAGTCCACCTCTCTCCCACCCACTTTTAAAAAATAACCGTAAAGAAGTTTGACCACCGGAAAAGCACAAAACATCAATCAACAGTGACAACATTTTGCCCACAGATACAGACTTATGGTTTTGAGGTACTAACGACTTTTCGTGGGGCATACAAGTCGTTACCTCTTAGACAACATTCAGTGTTTCTTTATAATTGTCGCGGCACATTTAAATACGAAACTAACTACGCATATCAACGAACTTAACAACACATTGAAGTACCATGCTGAGACAGCAGTACATGGTGTTCAGAAACCGAAGTCGGTTCAACGGCCTCCCTGATATAGCTAAGCGCATGCACGCGTCATAACGTTTCTCACATCATTACTTTAAGGCCTGACGTCTGATCCTTAAGAATAAGATTGTTGCCGAAACGACCAGCCGATCAGAGCTCCCCAATAAAGAACGCGATACAAGAATTTTACACTGTTCCTTTCTACTGAAAGCAGCGTGACACTGAATAATCCTATTCTGCTCGTAGCCGGTATTGCCTCAGTTCGTTCCATTATTACTTCTATACAGTAAAGTACGCAACCACTAACTTGGCTAGACTGCTTCAATAAATTAACGCACCAGTATTGCACACACGACCCGCACTTCGATTCTCGCAGAAATAAAGAAGCAGCTCGTACGCTTGTAATTGAATCGTAATGGAAATCTACACCCCCGCGTGCACCTAACGTCCCTGACCCGGGTACAGTGGTAGTGAGGAGCGCATCTGCTTTGACGGAACCCCCCGGAACGAAGGCCTCGCTAGCGAATCTGTGTAGCGAGTACGAGGCCCGCATCCCAAACATCGCATGCGGGCTATTGACTTCGAATGCCGGAGGAAGAAAGGAACAAGCGAAGGAGAAGCAAAGGATATACACGTGCGCGAATTGCGCACTTTGAAAGTTAAAATGGGCGTGCGTAGAGGGCGCGTTTTCGCACGGACGTCACCTAATGGCAGCGCCTAATGTAGGTTAATGACATCTCTGATGTAGGACTTCGGCAGCTGCAGTGGTGGGAGTTGAAAATCCCTTCCCTCGGACGCAGTTAAAGAAAATAGTCGTCGAAGCAAACGAGATAGAAAGTCACACACGGTTATAGAATGAGTTCGAAAAGCATATATGAGGACTTGTTCGAGTGATATGTGGGGTTGAACGTTCCTAAACCACCATATTATTATGAGAGACGTCGTAGTGGAGGGCTCCGGAAATTTCGACCACCTGGGGTTCTTTAACGTGCACCCAAATCTGAGCACACGGGCCTACAACATTTCCGCCTCCATCGAAAATGCAGCCGCCGCAGCCGGGATTCGATCCCGCGACCTGCGGGTCAGCAGCCGAGTACCTTAGCCACTAGACCACTGCGGCGGGGATATATGAGGGCCCGCCTCTGCGGTGTTGAGGTTGAGGTGCTCAGCTGCTGACGGGAAAGTGGCGGGTTCGGTCATGGCAGCAGCGGTCGCGTTGGTGGAGACGCAATGCCAGAGGCCCGTGTATTGTGTGATGTCTGTTCACATTTAAAAAAAAAACAAAGAAAGAAACACCGCATGATCAAAATTTTTCGGAGCACTACGGCGTGTCTCGTAATCATATCGTGGTTTCGGCGCAATGGAACTACCAATGCACAAACGTCCGCCTAATTATATCTAGGTAAGCTTCAAGAAGCCCAACTTGGACCAGATTATTCTGGTCTTGGCCTATATACGGCATTCTTAATTGTTGAAATGAAGTCTTAGCCCGTGAAACTACGGTGTTTAATTTTAACTAACCATAGCATTGTGACTAAGACGCACGGAGTCTTAGGGCCGTGAGGTAAATACTTCAGTTGCACAGTTACAAAAAAAGAAAAGAAAATAAAGCTTGCATCAGGACATATAATGTT